ATGCCTCTAGAAACTTATGGCAAGGGGATCCCCTTTCTCCACTCTTATTTATTATTGTGATGGAAGCACTGAATCAACTTATTAAGAAAGCAAAATCACTGAACTTGATTAAAGGGATTACTGTAGGTAACAGAGATCACAAAACGGAAATTTTCCATCTTTTCTTCGCTGATGATACATTGATTTTCTGTCAACCGGATGTCAGCTCCCTCATCTTCCTAAAATGTATTCTACTATGCTTTCAGGCCGTCTCCGGTTTTAATATAAATCTCCAAAAATCTAATATGGTTTTGTTGGGAAACAGCTCCAAAAATGAAGACTTCAGTGTGGTTTTGGGCTGCAAACAGACACAGTTACCTATCGCTTACCTTGGCGTTTCTCTTGGCATCAAGTACAATGACAGTAACTATTGGGAAGCTGTGATCGATTTGTTCAATAATAGATTATATACCTAAAAGAAAAAATTTCTATCAAAAGGAGGTAGATTGACCTTGATTAGAAGCACACTCTCCAATCTCCCGATTTACTTTTTATCGGTGCTTAACATACTAAATAAGGTGACAAAAAAATTAGAGCAAATCCAATGTAACTTTTTTTGGGGTGATAGTGAAAATTGCAAGAAATACCATTTAATGAATTGGTTGGAGATCAAAAAACCCTTAAAAGAAGGGGGCCTAGGACTAAAATCAATAGTCAAACAAAATAAGGCAATTCTTGATAAATGGATTTGGAGATATTGAAATGAACATGACAGCCTCTAGAAAATGATGATAGACTCAAAATGGTATATTGGCAATCCATAAAATCTCTCTTATATTAAAAACAGTAACTATGGTTACAGTTTATAGAAGAACATCATCATACTAAATAATATGATATTTCAATGCTCAAAATGGAATATTGGTAATGGGTTCAAGGTTCGTTTCTGAAAAAAAAAATTGGTGCAGTTTAAAAAAATTAAAAGATAAATATCCTCTTATCTACGAGATTGCTAAATGATATTGCTGGTTCAGTCATTCCTGCCTCTTGGAGTGTCCCAGTAATGAGAAACCTTCAAGATTGGGAACTAGAAGATTATCAATCCTTACTTCACTTATTGGCAAACACACAGCTGCAAAATTAAAACAATAAACTACATTGGAAATTAAAAAAAAAATGGCTTCTTGAATATCAGCTCTCTACTCTTTTTTGACCGGTCATAATTTTAATGAAAAATATCGTTTCTTCTCAAAAGTTATTTGGAAATTGGGTATATACAAACTTATAGCTAAGGTCCTTGCAAAGAGGCTGGTGAGGGTCATTGACAAGTTGATTGGGGAACACCAACATGCTTTTGGGGAGGAAGGCAAATCTTGGATGTAGCCTTAATTGCTAACATAGTGCTTGATGAACTCATTTATAGGAAAAGAAAAGGAGTGTTGTCTAAGTTAGACATGGAAAAAGGCATATAATCATGTGAATTTGAAATTTGTGGATTACAATTTGAGGAGGATGGGTCTCGGAGAAAATAACTCATTTGTCTTTTGCTGATGATACCGTACTTTTCTGTGAACCAAAGAGGGGAGCTTTATTGAATATCATATGTGTTTTGATGGGTTTTCAAGCAATATTTGGGTTCAACATCAATCTTGCCAAGTCGAAAGTTGTGAGATTGGGTTCAGGAGATGGTTTGGCGAGGGCTTTGGGGTGTAGACTTGTTAGCTTGCCGATCACGTATTTGCGTTTGCATTTGCCTTTAGGTGTTAGGTTCAAGGAGGAAAGGACATCGGATCCGGTGGTGAACAGATTTAGAAAAGAGATTTGCAGGATAGAAACAAGCTATGTTATCTAAAGGAGGTAGACTCGCGCTTATTAAGAGCACTCTCGATAATCTACCCATCTACTACACGTCTCTGGCGACAATCCCGAAAGGCATGGCCAAGAGATTAGAAGTCATTCAAATTTGTATCCTTTGGAGTGACACAGGAGATAGAAGGAAGTATCATCTAGTTGCATGGAGTGAGATTAAAAAACCTATGCATGTTAGTGGTTTAGGCATGCACTCAATGGTTGAGATGAATGAAACATTACAGGATAAGTGGCTATGAAGATTCATCAATGAGGAAGGTGCTATGTGGAAAAGAACTATTGTAGCTAAATATGGAAGGGACAATAGCGAGTGTTTTACAAAAGTGGGAAGTAGACCACATAGGAAGAGTTTATGGAAGAAGATAGGTCTAGGGTGGGAAAACTTTCAGAAGAATATCAGTTGGAAAGCTAATGGGGGGATAAAATCTGGTTGGGGAAGATTCCTGGTTCGATGGTGGGAGCCTTAGGGATAAGTTCCCATATATCTATGCTATTGCGTAGAGGAAAAACATCTAGATTTGTGAATCTATTGTGGAAGGTATAGTGAAGGGATGAGGGAGTGGCAAGTGTTTGTGTCGAGAAATCTAAATGACCGGGAAATTGGTGAGTGCGAGGAGCTACTGCATACCTTCCTCTTATTACTTTGAATGACAGTATTGACATTCCACAGTGGAAGCTCGCAGCGAATAATATGTCCACAGTAAAATTTTTCTACAAAAATCTGTTCACGCATAACGATAATGGAGCGCACTCCCCTACCGGCAGATGTAGAAGCCAAGAATAACCCCCCCCGAAGTTTTGTTTTTTTCCTGGGAGGCTAGCAGAAATGTTGTCTGACAATCGATAACCTGAATAAAAGGGGAAAGATTCTAGTTAACACTTGATATTTTTGTAAAAAGGCAGAGGAAACCTGTAATCATCTTTTGCTTTGGCGCCCCGTAAGATACAAGCTATGGATTATGGTTTATGGACTGCTTGGATCAGTTGGGTTGTGGTTGGTTCAGTGAGGGAACAAATTTGGGCATGGAAGGGCATTAGTGGTCGAAGGAAGCAGGTGGAGATTATTCCTCTTACCATATTCTGGATCGGAGAAAACCAGGAGAGCTTTTGATGGGGTAGAGGATAGATGGTTTTAACATACTCAAAAATAGATAGTTCCAGACCCTTGATTTTTTTATATCGAGTCATCCTCTTTGTTCTATAGAGTATTTATCGAACCTTTAATCCAAAAAAAAACTAAAGAGGTAATCCCCCGCCAGAATATCCTTTGCAAAAACCAAGCAAAAGCCTAAAAACATTGCTTTTGTAACCTCGCATAATAAAAATAATATTTGTAAAGAATCATCTGAAATAAATTAAGCATTGATTTAAAACAGTTTTAAGATAATAGTTAGAGGCATGAAGATCTTGAACATTGGAAATTCGTCTTTACAGCTGCTGTGATCCAACCATAAAGCACGAAAAACAAACTTTTTAATGAACTTACTAAAGGAGGAGCCTTGTTATGGACAAGATGAGGATTCAAAGTCAGGCCAACTGCTCTAGTCGATGGATCCACAAATAGGATACGAGCATTAACCTGTATCAAACAGCTCCAATATTACGTCAGTAAAAACAAACAATAACTAAGAAAATATGATGGACAAGAAAGCACGATTTGATTATAAACGTGAAACCAAATCTTTAAAAGAAAAACACCATAAAATAATAAGGAGATAATGATTATAACCCAGCAAAAGAGCCAAAGATCATAAACTGCAATAAATAGTTTTCGCCATGTTATGGCAAAAAACCCATTATGTAAACACAAAGACTTCAATTATTTAGGCCAAACAGAACTCCTTTGCCTACAATATTTTAGTCATAGAGCTTTTTAACAAGTTATGGCAAATAATCTACTTTATCATTTTGTTATATAGTTATTTCGAACAAAAAAATCATTTTGTTACATAAAAAAGAAATACGTTATATAAGGAAATAAGAGATACAACCCAGAGGCAGGCTACCCTCCAAAGAAAATAAAAACAAAAATACATCAAAACCAATACAGAAGCTACAAGAAAAAAGCAAACCAAATGGAAGCTACAAGAAAATAGCAACGCAAAGGGAAGCTACAAGAAAATAGCAACCCAAAGGGATGCTACAAGAAAATAGCAATTCAAAGGGCAGCCAACCAAAATAGGATCTTGAGGAATCAAGGACAAAGTTCCAGAATCATGGGCGGTATGAACAAAAAAAGTCCTGTATGGAGATCAAAGGCACCAAGTCAAAAAATTTTCAGTCATTGATGTTTGTAGGAAAAGGATGAAAATCCCAAGATGTTGTTGAGATCCCAGAAAATCATGAATAAGATCATGAAACAATGGTTGGTAACAATTCTCATATACCTGAACAGTTGCAATAACGAATAATGATTCTCATGTACCCTTTCATGTTTATAAATAATAGTTGTAAATCAAACCCAAGAGATGTTATTTTATAGAATAAAATCTCAGTTTATTATTCTCTCTCTAAACTTTTTATCTCATTCTGTCTCTCCTCTCTCGGCTACCTCTCTCTCTCTCTAACAGCCTCCTCTTTCTCTCTCTCACTAACTCTCTTCTTCTCTCCCCCGACTCCCTCCCTTCTCTCTCTTCCAAAACCTTCTTTTTCTTCTAAATTCCTTTTTTGCCCTCACTATTTCTTATAATTCTAATTCTGCCCTCAATTTTTTAAATTTCTCTAAAATAGTCCAAAATTATTTTAACTTTAATATCTTTTCCAAATTTCAGTTCCTATAAATCACATATCAAAACCGGGTCCTAACAACTTAATATCAGAGCCACGTTTCATATCCTAATGGTAGGCGGTGATGACTAACACTACAAAACTTTTCGACCGGATAGAGCAAAAACTCGATCTGATGATCCAGTTGCTGAGCAGCGGCGTTACCTCTCTGGAGGATGCAAAACCAACAACAACTGTTGCAGCGGTGCGCGAAGAGTGGGATTCTTCTTTTCCCTTTGCGGCGTGACAAAGAAGATGAAACAAAAAGGAGTGAACCGATTTCTAAGGGAAAAACCCTAAAACCTATTCAATGACTGAACCAGTTGAAGAAACCCTAAAGCTGTATGGTCCGAACCAGACTGGTTCAAGGGTAATATGGGGTCATACCAAACCCAGTTCAAACCGAATAGGTTCATTGAACCGAACAGGTCAGACCCCACTGAACCAAACCAAACCAGTCAATTCCCTTGTCCTCTCTGTCTCTCGCTGATGAGAATTAAAGGGAAGAAGGAAACGCAAAAGAAGAGGAAGTTGAAAAGAAAAACAGAAGAAAAAGTGGAAAAAGAAATGAAAGAAGCAAAAGAAGAAAAAAAGATGCAAAAGATCCGTAGGGAGTTCTTCGGTAGCACGGTAAAAAATATATACTTATATATAATAATATCTATATATATAATTATAATAAAAAATAATAACATTCATTGACACCAAATGCTTGGAAGTTAAATCTTAACCTTGAGGGCAAGGTTAATTCTCAAGGAGGGAGGGGGATTGTTGAAATTCAAGAAAATTATGAAGATGTTATGATTGATAAGAATTCTCATGTACTCGAACAGTTGCAATAACTGATAATGATTCTCATGTACCCTTTCATGTGTATAAATAATAATTGTAAATCAAATCTAAGAGATGTAATTTTATGCAATTTAATCTCAGTTTATTGTTCTCCCTCTAAACTTTATATCCCTCTCTCTCTCTCTCTCTCTCTCTCTCTCTCTCTCTCTAACAGCCTCTATTTTTCTCTCTAAAACCTTCTCTGCCTCTCTCTCACTAACTCTCTTCTTCTCTCTCACTAACTCCCTTCTTCTCTCTCCCCGACTCCCTCTCTTCTCTCTTCCTAAACCTTCTTTTTCTTCTAAATTCTTTTTCTGCTCTCACTATTTCTTTTAATTCTAATTCTGCCCCAACATTTCAAATTTCTCCAAATTATCCCAAAATTATTTAAACTTTAATATTTTTTCAAAATTCCGGTTCCGTTAAATCATATGTCACAGCCAGGTCCTAACAGATATATCTTATCATTTTGTAGATCAAAAAGAAAAACATATGATGTTTCAGTTAACTAGCCTGAGACAAAACGAATGTGCCCATCAACCTATTTTCACTCTTCTCCTCATCTTTGAAGCATGACGTTAGAATAAAAGTTTCAAACTAGCATCTACAATGTGAAGCATAAATCTCACGAGTTCAATTATCGAAGCTCATGTATCATGAACATAAACGAAAACTGATAAGAAACATAAACTAAACTTTCTATAGAAAGAGATCATATTAAAATATTTTTCAGCAGTAATCCAAGATCAGTTGAAGGATAAAATGAAACAGTACCTTCTTATTTTGAATATAATCATCCTGCCACTTTTTGGTGGAAAATGGATTTTGCAGATGGAATATGTCAACCTGAAAATGTGAAATAGAAAGAAATGAAATAGCAGAATCATGAAGCCTTTTAACCTGTTTTATCTCTATCAAACTGTTCATGGCTCTTACAGTTCCAGTGAAGTATGTAAGAAATGACAACATAATTCCATTTTGAAGTACAGAATGCACACGGGCATTAACCATCACGCCTGGAATTAGAAGATCAATTGAGATGCCCTTAATATCCTTTGTCTGTACAACATCACAACAAAACATTTTCTATCAAAGAAAGAAAACAGGTACAAGCTGAATAAATAAGAAACTGTATGCACAATTTTTTTTTTTTTCCAAAAGAGAGAACTGATATATTAAATGATTGGGACATACTACAGTTTTAGCCACCACAGACGGATCAGAACTCAGGTAAACAACTTTACGCATTTTATCAACACTTTTAACAACCCCTTGTAAGAGTTTTCCGGTCTTTAATTCATTCTCTCCATTTTCTGTAAAGGAAGACAAAAAGAAAAGAAACAGGAGATTAAAATTTGGCAGTCTGAACGGCAAATAATACCCATAAATTCACCATTGTTGGTATCAATCCTATACTGTTTTTATTTCAAAAAAATTAAATTCAGCAGGTATCTCCATAGACTATTCTCTGAGAAAAACTTGCTATATAAGTTAGACAGCCGAAAATTGGAGTTCAGCATAATAAGTAAACTGAATACTCAGTGGCTTACATATGATGGTTTCTCTCTGATTGGAAGACTCAAAAAACCATTAAATATAAAATAGATATATGATAAGAGCACATCTATGACACTAAGACATCCTTCTTTTCCCAAAGTTGTGTAAGTTTTTGTGCACTTCAAAAGAAATTATGTTGCTAAACTCAGAAATCTCCCAACCCAACTGTAACATCTTATAAGCAACTAAGCGCTTTAAATATCCTCCTTATAGCAGAGTCCAAATAACATTCAGACAGGTCCAGATAGTGAATACTTGGTATAGAAGCCTCGCCTAATATCAACATTATCAAACCAAAACCCTAAAAGCTGAAAAACACATGAAAATCTGATAAATACAAGCAAACTATTCCTAACATCTTAAAAAAGCTTTAAACAATTGTGCACATAATTTTTTAATAGAATCTGAAAGTAATCATAAGCTCACAACATAGAACAATGGTATCAAATAAAAAAGAAATCTCATACAGATTTTGCAATTAAAATAAATCGACCAACAAGATATAAATTTTGGAATCAAAATTGATGAGCGCATATAGCAACTGAAATAATTTCTACCCAGGAAATCATGGCAGAGGGAAGAAATTAAAGAGATGCTCTCCAATCCTTTTCCACTGAACAAATTTATCATTGTGCTCCCATCATACCAAAAGAAGTGTTTATGCACTATAAAGGAAAATTGAGCTTAAAGTTAACAGCCATATGAAGATGCTCTTATTGTTTCTCAAAATACAAGAAGCTCTAAGGTTTGGTGAAATGGCTAAGAACTGTCACAATTTCCAATTCACCATTGCTGCATTATGGCTCACTGTCAGGTGTTCATAAATAATGTTATGTTATATTGCAAGAGACTGTATAACTTTAATCTATTACTTCCAGAACCCAAAAGGGGAAAGGAAATTAACATGTTAGCGAGATTATATAGAGACTAACAAAAAAACACTCTCAAAGGAGTAAATAAAACTAAGTGAAAAGAAAAGGTAACTAGCAGTCTACCAGCTTGGCCTTTTTTTGATAAAAATCCTGAAAAAGAAGGCAATCCAAAATGAAGAATGTAGCCATGATCTTCAATACTTTTCACATATGCAGTTAAGACCTGTAATCAATCACAATGAAAAAAAGATCATGAAAACAATCAGAATATCATAAGAAAGAAAAGATAACTAGAGAGCATAATATGAGGCAACAGCACCTCACAGAACCAAGATTCAACATAGAATTTGCTTCTTCAGAATAATAATTTTTAAATTAAAATGGGCATTCAATCATGAACAGGCACTTGTAAGTGTAGTGTACTTTACATGAGCAAATAGATATTTTTTTTTTTTGGCGAATATAAGCACATCAAGTTATGTCTTATACTTTTATTTCAAAAAAATATATTATATATACAGATATTTTCTTTCAAAGCCTCCAGAGGTCTTAGACAAGGCGATCCATTATCTCCCCTACTTTTTATTATTGTCATGGAAGTCTTGAACAAAATGTTGATAAAAGCCAGAGAGCTGTAGTTGTTTGAAGGTTTAAAGTAGGTGATGGTGAGCATATAACGGAGATAATTCACTTAATTTTTGCTTATGGAGCATACAAAGGAGATAATTCACTTATTTTTTACTGATGACACTTTAGTGTTTTATGAACTGGACGAAAGGGCAATGTTTAACATCAGATGCATTTTTACTAAGTTTCCAAAGCGATGTCTAGTCCTAATATCAACTTAACCAATCTAAGTTGGTGAGAATAGGTTATGGGAAGGACGCTTCTAGGTTGGCAAGAGTCATGGTGTGTAAAAGTGTATAGTTACCAATTAAGTACTTTGGATTACTTTTGAAGGTCAAATATAAAGATGTAAGGATGTGAGATATTGTGATGGCGAGGTATAGAAAGAAGGTTGGGTGAGGATGTAAGACAAACCTCGCACCAAAAGAGGGGAGACTGCCATTCAGGAGAAGTAAGTTGGCCACCTCCCCACTTATTACATGTCTCTTTTGA